TTAATCACTGTCCAGCTATCCTATCCATGTAAGGTGATTGAGTATTCCATGTTATAGGTCAGGCATATTTTTTTCTTCAAGGTGATATCTTTGCTTTATAACACCTTTTTAAAGAGGTCTTTTGCAGCTGATTTTCTTGATGTAATACATCATTTTCTTTCTTGACTGTTGTCTCCATGGATGTGGTGGATTCAAATAAAATGGGACCCACAAAAACCTTAATCTTTTCTCCATTTGTCATAATATTGCTTATTGGTCAAATTGTGAGAATTTTTGTTTTCTTTAAGATAAGGTGGTATTGAGGGCTGTGAGTAGTCTTTGATCTTAGTAAATGCTTCATGTTCTCTTTAACTTCAGCAAGTAATGTTGCATTAACTCCATATAGCAAATTATTATTAATGAATCATCTTCTAGTCCTATGCTGCATTTTTCTTCATATAATATAGCTTCTCAGATTGTTTGCTCTGCAAACAGAATAGGTATGGAGAAAGTACACTACCCTAATGCACACCTATTCCCCTATTCTGTTCAAACAACTGCCTCTTAGTCTATGTGCAGGTTCTATATGAATACAATTAAGTATTCTAGATTCACATTATTTGCAAAGTATCCATAATTTCTTATGATCCACAAAGCCAAATGCCTTTCTAAAGCCAATAAAACACAGATAAACATCTTTTTTTATATTCTGTTTTCAACTAAGATCCATTTTATATCAGCAATGATATCTCTCTCTTATCCTATATCCTGTTCTGGATCTAGCTTGAATTTCTTGTAGTTTCCCATAGTTCAATGTACTACTGCAACCATTTTTAATTCTCTTTGTATAAATTTGACCTTAAGTCTGTACCGTTCGAATTTCAAAACCATCTCAGGAACAGGTTTGAGGCCTTGAGCACCAATGAGCATAGACCAAATGAGTTTTGGGAGGATATCAAGAATGCAAAAGATCTCCCAGAGGTGCGCGGTTCAAATCCAACAGATGCTCTGTTGGAGAAGGAGAGACAATCTCCTCCTGTACCAGTCGGATCCAATTTGACGGTATACACAAATAAAAATTAAAAAAAGAATTCAAAAGATCATTACAAAGGCTGAAGAAGAAGAAAATACCAAGATTGATGTCAGATGAGACTCTGAATATTGCATTAGAGCACCAAGAAGCCAAAGCTAAAGGAAGAAACCAAGAAATCAAAGAGCTGAACAGAAAATTTCAAAAGGCAGCTCAGGACAACAAAGCAAGATACTATAATGAAATGTGCAGAGAGCTGGAGTCAGAAAATCAAAAGGATTGAACTCGGCCTAGTGGCAAGACGCTGCACTGCAATCCCAGAGGTACACGGTTCAAATCCACCAGATGCTCTGTTGGAGAAGGAGGGGGCAATCTCCTCTTGTACCAGTCAGATCTGATTTGATGGTACACGTAAAAAATAATACAATAAAAATGTAAAAAAGAAAAAAGAGTTTAAAAAAAAAGGATCGAACTCACTCAGCATTTCTTAAGCTGAAGGAGTTGAAAAACAAATTCAAGCAACAGGTGGCAATTCTTAAGGATACTTAGGGTAAAATGTTAAATGATCCAGGAGCATTAAAAGAATGATGGAAGGAGTACATAGAGTCACTGTATCAGAAGGAATTGGCTGACATAGAAGAATTTCATGAAATAACATATGAGCAACAACCTGTGGTGATGAAGGAGGAAGTTCAAGTTGCTATGAAGGAATTGGCAAGAAACAAGGCTCCAGGAGTTGATAGCATACAAATTGACATATTACAACAAACAGACACTGTCCTGTATGTGCTCACTAATTTGTGACAAGAAATCTGGAGGACAGCCAGCTGGCTGACTGACTGGAAGAGATCAATATTTGTTCCCATTCCAAAGAAAGGTGACCCAACAGAATGAGGAAATTATCAAACAATATCATTACTATCACATGCAAGCAAGATTTTCCTGAAAATTATCCAAAAATTATTGGAGCAGTATGTCAACAGACAACTGCCAGATGTGCAGGCTGGATTTAGAAGAGGTTGTGGTTCTAGGGATATTCTAGCTAATGTTAGATGGATCTTGGCAGAAAGCAGAGAATACCAGAAGAATGTCCATCTGTGCTTCATTGACTATGCAAAGGCTTTTGACTGTGTGGATCACAATAAGCTGTGGCTGACTCTGAGAAGAATGGGAATCCCAGAACATTTGATTGTGCTTATGTGAAACCTATACTTGGACCAAGAGGCAATCATCAGAACAGAGCAAGGAGACACTACATGGTTCAAAATCAAGAAGAGGGTCCATCAAGGATGTATTTTGTCTCCATACCTTTTAAATCTGTAGGCCGAACAGATCATCCGAGATGCTGGGCTGTATGAGGAGGAATCAGGATTGGTGGAAGAGTCATCAACAATCTGATGACACAACCCTGCTTGTTGAAACTGAGGAAGACCTAAAGCGTTTGCTGCAGAGGTCAAGGACTACAACTTTAAATACGGATTGAAGCTCAACATCAAGAAAACAAAGATTCTCGTGACTGGGCCAATTGGCAGCATCAGTATGGATGGTGAAGAGATTGAGATAGTTAATAGTTTTAGTTAGTTGGCTCCACAGTCAACACTCTTGGTAACAGCAGCCAGGAAATCAAGAAACGGATTGCATAGGTAAAGTTAGCTGTGAGGGGCCTCTCAAGAGTACTGAAAAGCAACAACGTAAGGCTGGAGACTAAGGTGTTCCCGATCCAGGCTATAGTCTTTGCAATTAAGTGCTATGCATCAGCGGGTATGCTATGAGTAGGAATGACAGAAAGAGAACTGATGCCTTTGAGCTGTGGTGCTGGAGAAGAGTGTTGAATATATCATGGACTGCTAGGAGAACAAGCATGTTTGTCCTGGAGAGGGTGAAGCCAGAATGCTCCTTGGAGTCAAGGATTCTAAAGCTTCGGGCATGTTGCAAGGAGGGACTGGTCCTTGGAGAGGGACATCATGTTTGGTAGAGTGGAGGGACGGCACAGGAGAGGAAGACCCTCGATGAGATGGATCAATTCTGTGACTGGAATGGTGGGAATGAGTGTTTCAGAGACAATGAAGTTGGCAGAGGATAGAGCAGCATTTAGGGCTCTTGGACATAGGGTCGCATAAGTCACAAGCAACTTGACAGCACATAACAATATTTTACTTGTACACAATATTGCTATTGCTCAACAATGCTGCATTTCATTGGTTTGCTAGTCTTGGAATAGGCATACATACAGATCTGTTCTAGTCACATATTCAGATGTGTTCCAGGTAACTGTCTTCCAAATTTCTTGACATAGATGATGGAATGCTTGAAAGATTGCATCTATTTGTTGGAAAATTCCAACTGATATTCTGCCCACTCCTGGAGCCTTGCTATTTGCCATTGACTTCAATGTAGCTAAAACTTCTTACTTCAGGATCCTCAGTTCTTGATCATATGCTACCTCCTGAAATGTTTTAACACCAAACAATTCTTTTTGGCTTAGTGACTGTCTAGTCCTCCCTTCTTTTGATGTTTCTTGCATCATTCCATTCCCACCAGCCTTCCATACTGCTACTCAAGGTTTTCATTTCTTCCATTATTTCACCTTAAAAAAATGCCTCTGATAAGTCTATATTCTTTATCTTTGTATTAGGCTATGTTCTCTAAAGTAGCAAAACTGACGGAATATATCTATATGAAATACTTACTGTAAGGAAATGACTCGTTTGCTTGCAGAGGCTGACAAGTCTGTTTTGGTAGGTGCCATAAAGTTGAGTACAACTTATAACAACCCTATGAACAAGAGATATGAACCGTATACTATCTTGTGCCATCCTCATAATCTCTGATACTCATAATACTTGAGTCCACTGTAGGAGTCACTGTGTCAATCCACCCAGTGGAAGGTCTCCCTCTCTTTTCACTGATCTTCCACTTTCCAAAACACAGTGTCCCTCTCCAAGGAATAGCACCATGCACAAAGAATGTGAGACAAAGCTTTGTTATCTTTGCCTCCAAGGAGCACTCTGGCTGTACCTTCTCCAAGACATATTTGTTTGTTCTTTTGACAATCCATGGAATATTCAGTACTCTTTTCCAACACCAGAGCTCAAAGACATCAAAGGCATCCTTCTGTAATTCTTAACTCATTGTCCAGCTCTCAAATGCATAGGAAGTGACTGAGAAGACCATGACCTGAATCAAGAACATATTAGTCTTCATACCAACATCATAGCTCCTCAGTAATTTTGAGAGGTCCTTGACTGCAGACTTTCCTGATGCAATACGTCTCCTGATGGCCTTACTTCCTGTACCAAGGAGGCATATGGGCATGTTAACGAGTCTCAGTTGTCAGCAGGCAGGCAAGATCTCAAGAAGCTGTTGTTGGAGGCTGCTGGCTCCAGCAATTGATGTGCCCAGGGTCATTGTTAGGAAGCAGGGTTACAGACAGCTAGCTGGCTTTGGAAACTGACAAATCCAAAGTCAGCAAGTGTGGCAGGCCACTGACGTAAGTATGGAGACCGTGATCCAGATAGCCAGATGCAGATCAGACAGAAAGCTCTCTAGATTTTTGCCAGAGAGTTCAATTGTATGTCAATGCAGACCATCTCCCTTCATCAAATAAGATTGACTATCTCTTTATAGACTATACCCCTAAGGAAACTCTTCTTAATCCAATCATTAAAATCCTAAAAATCTGAGTAGATAAGTCTGGTCATATTTTTACAAAGCCACTTCTATTCCTCACTCTTTAACATCACAGAGATTAGAATTTAAAACACATAGGACTGTTACATTAAACTGATCATACTTGACACAAAGTATGTACCCAAAAATGTTTGTCATACTGATGTAAGACATTTGACTAAGGAAATAACTGCTTGCAAACTAACAGTTCTGTCTAATGTGCACATATCAAATGCTGATCATTTTAAAAATTAAAAGCATATGGACATGAATTTGCTCAATTTATATCACCAATTATTTAAATGATTTTAAGTATATTTACCTTCACAGCACTTATAGCTGTGTCAAGCGTTGAAACCTCGTGGTCTTTATGGGTGCCAAATATCTTGTCCATAGCAGAAATTGGGCTTTTGCAAGTGTAACAATAGGAGTCAATCTGGGATTTTTTCGGTTCATTTGGTGCCTTCTCAATTACTAACTCTGATGATAATTGATCTTGGTCTGTCTTCTCTCTGTCTAACTCTGTGGGTTCAGCAGACATACTTGGCTCCTCCTCCCCTACAAATTCATTTTCACTGGTGTGCTCAAAAGATAGCTTTCCTTGAGATAGCACATCTTCAGGTGTAGAGTCTGAGCACACTTCTGATGCAGTGCTGTGAGTGACTACTGCATAATTCAGAGACTCAGTAAATTCATAGTCATCTTGAACAGGACTATTGTAGAGTCTATCTTCATGTGGTTCAGGTGGGACTATTCTAGGCTCTTCTTGCAATGTTTCTTGAACACAAATTGCACCAGATGCAAATTCTTCTTCTGGGAAAGATACTTGTACAGGGACATTCTGACCAACCTCTGGAGTTACATTTCCTGCTTCGGCACCCTCACCACTAGTTTCTTCTACTCTTTTCATAATATTATGAGTGTCTTCAAATGGAACTGCGTAGCTTATTTTCTGGGTAACCACCCTGACTTCCTCGCTGATGGGAGCTTTCCTCTGCATCGCTACATCATCAACTGTCTCCACATGGCCTTCTGAGATTTCTTCGCTGCAAACAGCTCTCTGTTCCTCTTCCAAACTCCTCTCCCCCAAAATAGTTCCAAGCCTCCCCCAAATTTCCCCTTCTGCAGCTATCGGTTGGTATGAATCACCCTTACCAACTGATTTTCCTTCCAGACCTTGGCCTTGGTCCTTTTGAGTTACAGATGTGTCATGGAGAATGTCATCTTTGAGTATGTACTTCTCAAAATACATTCCTGTTCCGTCATCAGTGTCAGAATTTCTGCTTGGAAAGGATGCCTCAGACTTCACACTGTCATCTTCAGAAACTGCCCCTTCTTCCTTCTTTTTCTCTCCAACTGCATCTTCATACAGATCCTTGTATAGAAATGCTAGTGCAGGTGGCTCCTCCAAATGTTCTGGTTTAATATCTTTAGGACTGGTTGTAAATATCCGTGTTCGTGACAAAACTCCTTCCTCTGCATCAAATAAAGGCATCCCAGGTGACTTTGTGTCCACGTCTCTATTTACACCCTTTGGAACATCTCTATCAGTTGATTCTTGGATAACCAAAGATGTTTGGGTCTCCAGGTAAGATAACTCACTGTAGTCCTTTTCTGGTCCATAAAAGCTTTCATCCAATTTCACCAAGTCAAATTCATGTTCCACAGCACTATCCACTGAAGTTTCTGGGACAGTAATAGTTTCTTCTGAAACTCCCTTTGAGAATTCTTCTTCAACCCATAATTTCTGTGGAAACTTATGTTTTTCTGGGTCTGGGGCGATGTTATAATCAATCAAAGTATATTTTTCAAAATAATCCTCTTCACTGGGAACAGTGGGCTTCATAAAGGATAACTCAGTATTTTCTGAATCTGTGGGTAATTCTTCTTTTGTTTTATGAGCTTCCTTTTGTTTCTTTTCTTTCAATAATGGAACTTTTTCATCAGAATCTTCTAACTTGTTCTTTAATGTTTCATGGCAAAGACGTGCCTCACTGTCTTCATGAGTTGGTCTGGTTTTAAGTGAGGATGTCTCCTGCAAATATTCTAACTTATCTGGCATTTGCTCACTTTCCTCCTGATCAATGGAAGAAATGAAAGCAGGAGCATGAATATTCAATATCTCACATCCTTCAGAAATGATACTGAAGGCACTCTTTTGCTCTTCAGAAAGTCCAGCTGGTTTACTAGTAACTGTAAATTCATCTGTTGCACATGTGTCTTTGGGCTCCACAGATATTTCTTTGGTGAGAACTGTTTTCTCACTTTTTAGCGGTGAAGCATTCATTATAAATTGAGTATAGTTGCTGCTCTCTGAACAGCATGGCTTATTTAGGTGGACATCTTCCTGAGCCTCCAAAGAGTGCTTTGAACCAGATTGTTTCGGCAAGTCAGACAGATGATCTTTAGATGTCTGAATTGTATGAACTGTGTGCCTATCTTGACTCAATTCTTCTACTTTAATAGAACTACGTTCATGTATACTTGGTGCCTCTTGTATTCCGTTATTATCACTAAGCTCTAATGGGGCCAGAATTTCTTGTTTTCCAGCCAGTACCTTCTTTGCTGCCAAGGAACGTGATCTGGTTTCAATGTTCTCTTTCTCCTCAGTTAGGCTAACAGACACAAGCTTGTTATTTTCTTCTGAAATATTCAAGGGAGTAGGCTTTGGAATCTCTTTCTTTCCTCTGTCTTCACCAAGCTCAATTAAACTACCTTTGGCTTCTTTTACCGGCAACAATACTGACTCTGACTTCTCTGATTCCTTTGTGATACTTTCATTTGCAAAATGGGATGAAGTCATTTTGGGCTGTTGTGGCACCTTATCATCTGCATTAAGTGAAAAGAGTGAATTTTCTATTTGATCACTTCTTGACTCTTTCATAAGAATAGAAACATTCCATGCAGAAGGAGGAGAGATTGCTGGCATCTGAGGTGTTTTACTCTCAGTGGTGGGAACAGGAACTCCATGTTGGACTTCTTTCAGGACTGACTTCTCACCCAGGAGCGAAGGGGGTTCAATTCCACCATTAGTAGGAGCAACTTCTGAGTTTAGGTCCATTTTCCCCGAATAGTCTGGAGTTTCTTTCTTCCCGTAAACTTCACTAACTGCCTTGGTGCTGGATGGTCGTTGTAAATCATCTACATTTGATAAAAATGTAGATTTTTCTTGAAAGCCTTGGCCTTCACTAGGTTTAAATAAAGCAGCTCTGGATTCTTCAGCAGTTTTACGCTTTGTCTCAGATAAGGGATGATCAGCCAGTTTCTCAGGGGCACTAAAATCAGCAGGGGTGGTGGGAATCGTACCTTTAGACTCTGTCACAGACACTACTTTTTCAGTAGGTTGGCTTGGCTGAGTTTCCAAATTTTCTTTTTCAGCAGCTTCATTATCTGCGGTGTTGGAGCCAAAAAGCAAATTGGACATCCATGATTTCAGAGATGAGATTCCTTTCTTTCCCTTTGCTTCAGGAAGCACTGGCTCCACTGCCTTTGGCTGCTCCGGCGGCTTTTGTGTTAATTCAGGTGACTCTCGAGGCTGAGGCTCCTCATGCACTTGAATTGAAGAGAGGGGTTTTCTTCGCATGGGTATTTTCACTGCAGGTGTAGCATCATCTAAAACCTCTGAGGTAACCACTTCTGATTTTTCCAGTGATTTCTCTCCAGGTAAAGAAGGTGTAGTCCTTTGTGCTTCTTTTTCTTTTAGGGGAGATTTTGCATCTGCTATCTGGGCTGATGAGGGAATTCTTTCTAACTCGCTTAGTTCCACTGATGGGCCTGGAACCAGTTTCTGAAGTAGTTTTTCAGAAGGCACTCTAACTTCTTCCCACCTCTCTTCTTTGTCAGGCCTGGAGAAGTCTGCAGTTGCTTTCTCTAATATCACTTTTTCACCCCCCACAAAAGAAGGGACCAGCTTTCCCTCAGCTGTATTTCTCTCCACATTTCCAGCTGGGAAAATAGATTTTGGTCCTTGTGTTGGTTTTCTTTCATCAGAAGAGCCCGTTTTAGGGGAGGGTGTCTCGACACCACCACTGGAGCTGTCTGGAGTAGACACTAATTCTTGTAAGGATAAGTGAGGTTCTTTCGCAGGTTGGGGCAGGACCTGCTCTCTGCTTTCTCGCTTAGACTCTTCTTCTGACAACACAGCCTTAAGCTGTTCTGTCACCAGATCACTGTTGCCAGAGGGACCCAGCTGCACGTGTCCCAGCATTCTCTCTTCATGGGGACTGGCCAAATCTCTCTCTGGCTTTTCCAACATCCCGTTTTCATCCTTTGGAGAAACAGTGGGTTCTTTCTCTTTTGTTTCTTTAATATCTGTCAACTCAGTTTTCTCAAAAGATTTTGATTCTTCCAAAGACAAATGTTCTTTCACAGAAGAACTCAAATCTTGCTTATCTGCTAAAGAGCCGCTTACATCAGGTAGTTTGACAGCTTTATCTGAACAAAGTGTTTTTCCAGGCTTCTTTTGTTCCACAAGGAGCTCAGAAGAGGGTATCTTTGATGGTTCTGTTCTACTCTGGGGTACATGGGGCGGCTCTGGTTGGCCAGTTCCTTCATTCAATTTAGTTAAAAGATTTTCCATCACTTGTGACTTGACATTTGCTTTTGGTGGTAATGGGCCTATTTCCTGCTTTTCTTCCATTTTAAAGTCAGCAGAATTGCTCAACTCTTCTGATAATCCTTTAAAAGAAAATGTATATGGTTGAAGTTGTTCTAGATTTTCTCCTTCAGCCAGAGGGGTAGATGCTTCTTTTGGCCCTAAGCTAACTTCCTGGGGGGAGAATGGTTTGATTTCTTTATTCTGAGGTTCTTCTCCTAGCTGTGAGTAACTATTTGAAATTTCAGGTGTTGTAGTATATGTTGGTGCTAAATCTTCTGGCACTAAATTTTCCAGCTTAGGAGAGCATGGTGCCTCCTCATGTTTGCCTGTTGGAACTGTCTGTCTGGGTGCAGGTGACACATTTTGTAACAAAGGCAGCTCGTTTTCTTTCTTCTTTATCGCACCATCTTTGGTGGAAAGCCATGTTTCCGGTTCTGACACCTCTGAGGAAAGCACAGAGTTCTTTTTCTGTGATGAAATCAACTTCTCAGAGTCAAGGAGTGAAGAAAATGAAAGACCTTGTTCCTTTTCTATCCTTACTTCCTTAGACACATCTGAATGCACTGAAGATGTTTTGGTAACTGGCAGCCCAGGGCTAATTTCTTCAGTTTCCACTTTTGATAATGTAGAGTGCTCTAATTCAGAGGCCACACTGGGAGGCAAATCAAATTCAATTTCTTTCTCTGCTTCTGACCAACATTTAGCTGTGGTTGTTTCCGTGGGAGAAGGAGCACCTTTAACTGTTATTTTTTCTTCTTCTTTAGGAACTACATGCTTGTCTAGAGATGTTATAAGTGGTGGCAAGCCAACTCCTAATTCACTGGCTCTTTCTTCTGAGACTGATCGTTCCAAGGGAGTGGGAAGTGGTGAGTCTGGTGGGATGTCTTCTTTTGCTAATTTGATTAAACGCGAGTCACTCTTACTTATAGATGGGGTTGTGGAAGAAGTGGGTTCGACTTCCTTCTTTATTTCTTCTGGGGGTGCTGAGAATGGTGGTACAAGTGGACCACGCTCAACTTCCTTTGCCACCTCTGAGGAGGATGAACGTGAAACCCTAGGTGGAACTGTTATTTGAGAGTCCTGTTTAACTTGTTTTGTCATTGTCGATGAAACCTCAGGTCTGGATGAAACTGTTTCCTTCAGAGTGGACTGTGGTGTTATTACTTCAGACTCACTCTTTGACATTCTCTTTTCCACTTCAGATGTCACAGTGAGAGCTAAATTGGGCTTAACACTCTTCTTTGACTCATCTACCAAGTCAGGAGTAGCTGAATATTTCATCCCGGGCCCTGGAACAGTTGGGAACTGAGGCTCCATTTTTTGATCCTGAGATGCATGAGCTGTAGCTGATTGTGAATCAGGCACAGTTTCTTCCTTCCTGACTTTTGACAAATCCATCTGTTCATTTGCAGCTTTGAGAGTGAATGACGCCTCGGGCTCCTGTTCTTTCTTAACTGCATGGACTGAGTCAAGTGATGATGAGTCCTGAGATGCAGGCAAACCAAGTTTGGCATCTTCTTTTCCCATGGATGGTTTTTCAGGTACAGAAGCAGGTGGTGTAGACACTGATGAACCCATCTTCATTTCTCCCTTCTCTGCTTCATTAGTTAAATGTGAAGAAGTCAAGTCTTCAGACTCAGGAGCCAACGTTGCTCTAGTTTTCTGCTTCTGGGACAAAATAAGATATTCAGAGACAGATGTTGAGGTTGTCTGAGCATCTGACTTCGTTTCTACATTCTCTGCTTTATTTGCTAAAGGTGGCAGACTCAAGTCTCCCTGTACAGACATCACAGAGGAAGGTTCATCTTTTTGTTTCTGTGACAAACTGAAATCCTCGGGTACAGGTGTAGAAGCTGTAGATCCAATTTCTTCCTCATCTGGGAAATAGGAGTGTTCTAAGGCAGACACTGCATTCAACAGTGAATCAGGCTCAACCTCATTCTCCTTTGTTTCTGGGACTCTATATGGTGGGATTGAAACTTGGGATGCTGAGTCTGGAGAAAACAGTTCAGCTTCTTCAGTGTCTTCATCTGACAAAAAAGTATGATCAGATGGTGACGTTAAATATATTGGAGAATCACGCTCAAATTCTCTTTTCTCTGCTTCTGGAGTTGCATATGGTGGGAATGAAAATTCTGATGCAAATGCAGAATCTGGAGAAAAAGGCCCAATGTCTTCTTGTTCTTCTTCTGGTAAATTCATGGGAGAGGAAGCCCCTTTTAAAGAGGGCCTGTGGGAAATGTCTTCCTTCTGTGACTCCTGAACTGCATGTGGTGACACTGAAAGTTCAGAAGCAGGGATGGATGAGGGCGTGTACCTCTCCATTTCCTCTGCTTCCTCCTCTGAGAGGACCATGCGTTCAGATGGGGTAGTTGAAAGCGGTGGCGATTGGCATTCAGAAGTTGTTTCAGATGTGTGTGAAGGGAGGGAATTTTTAGATACAGGAGTCACATCTGGAGAAAACAGTCTAGAGTCCTTTTTCTCCTCCTCTGAAAGATTTATAGGCTCAGAAACACCTTTTGATTTGAATTGGGAAATATCACCAATTTCTTTCTTTTGAGATTCTGCTATTTCATTTGGTGGAACTGCGTATTTGGAAGCCATCGTGGAGTCTGATGAGACCTGCTCACTTAGGTCCGCTTCATCTGAGCCAATGGCTTCCTTCTCTTCTTCTAACAGAACTGTAGGCTCAGAAACACCTTTTGATTTTAATTGAGATATATCATCAATTACTTTCTTTTGAGACTCCTTTGTTTCACTTGGTGAAACTGCATCTTGGGAAATCTTAGTTGAATCTGATATAAATTGACTACCTATATCCTCTTTGCCCAAGTTTATGTCCTCCTTCTCTTCTTCTGACAGATCTGTGTGCTCAGAAAGATCTTTTGACTTTAAGGAGGTCTTTTTGTCAACTGCTATCTTCTGTGACTCTCTCAGTGCATGAGGTGGAACGGAAAAGTCAGGAGCAGATATAGAATCTGGTGTGCGACACTCACTTTCTGATGCCTCTTCTCCTGATAGGACCATCTGCTCTGGTGTGACCATGGAAAACAGTGGAGACTGGGCTTCAGAAATCTTCTCAGTCATGGATGGTGTGAAAGAGTATTCAGACACAGATTCTGAGGCTGGGGAAGAAGACACAACATCCTCAATTTCTTCCTCTGACAAAACTGCACGTTCAGATCTACCTTTTACAAAGGATGGAGCCACTGACTCACTTTCTTTCTTCTCTAGTTTATGACTCACATCCTGAGGGACTGAATGCTCTGATACAAAAGCAGAGTCAGTAGACACAGATTCATTTTCCTCTCTTTCTTCCTCAGAGAACACTACTTGTTCAGGTGTCGATGCTGTTACCGATGGTGAGAGGAACTCCCCTTCTTCCTCCAATTCAGGAGCCATTCGTGGTGGAAATGACTCCTCAGAAACCAAAGGACTTTCTGGATAACCAAGCTCTACGATTTCTTCTTCTACAAAATTAGAATCTTCGGATTCAGGGAGAGCAGCCATCGGTAGGGGACTTTCTAACAATTTTTTCTCTGGTTCTCCTGACACTAGAGGTTCAGGAAGAGGAATGGTTGGCTCAGGTATGTTTTCTTTCTTACCTTCTTCAACTTCATGATGAAGAGGGGCCACTTGTTCAGTGACTGGTTCTGCCATTTCTAAGGAAGTCAAGTCCAGCTGGTCTTTCCCTGTGCCAGCACTTTCCTGAATGGATGCTTCCAGGCATGGTGCTTCCAGAGACTCTTTCTCTGTCTCTAGGGAAATGAAGTGGTCAGCAGAATACATTTCTTCTTTCTTTAGCTCATCAGCTAAAAATGGTGAGACTGAATCAGCATTCTCTGTAATCACAGTTTCATGTGAATCAGGCTCAAAACCTTCCTTTGCTGTTTCCAATAACACAGTTGGAGACGCAACAGGTGTAACAGAGGAAGAAGGCTCTATTTCGTGGGTTTCTGCTGCATCCCCTGGCAGTTGTGGCACCAGCTGTGGAGAGCTGAGCTGTGCTTTTTGTTCTATCATGTCATTACTTGAATAAGAGGAAACTGTATCCCTAGGTACTGATATGACATTTTGGGGGGAACCAACATGACTTTTCTTTTGATCTTCATGACTGAACGAAGAGGTAAAAGTCGATCTTTTGGAGAGTGCATCTCTCCAAGATGGAGTAAGCTCTTGTTCTTTATCTTCTTTTATACTATGAGTTGCTAATTTGGCCATTTTGGAACCTATATTAGAACTGCTATTGCCTAAATCTGGCTCTAGACTAATGGATGCATCTTTCCCTTTTCTATAATGTATTTCTTTAATTACATAACCTTTGGGCAATGTTCCATAAAACTGCAGAGGAACTAATTCTTCCTTAACTGAATTAAACATCTTAATTTTATACTGAACTGTCCCTATGTAGACAGGCCTTAACACTAATGGCTTGTGTTCTTTGTATATTGCCCCGGTAATAGGTGGTGTGTTTGAGGCAGTTTTCTTTTTTCTCATTTTATCATAAATGCCAATAGATGACTTTTCTTTCTCGATTTTTAAGGCTTTATTTTCGGAAGTCAAGGAATTGTCATTTTTGTTTACTGGAATTTCTTCTTGGGCTTCTAAAGAATGTCTCTTTTTTATGCCCTTCCGACGCAAGGATGGTGAGCCATGTTTTGACTTATGAGTTCTTTTCTGAGACTTTTTCACTTCATCCACAATAAATGAAACATTCCCTGGAGGAGAGTTCACAGTGGACCCTTCCAGACTACACACACCAGAAGTCTGACTTTCTTCCGAGGCCACGGGAGTAGATGACCGACTTGAATTGGTCTCCCAGGTTATTCCACTGTCTTCCCGTTGAACTGTCACCATGGAAAAGGAGGGGTCAGAAATAATGCACTTCTCCTTGATCTTGCCCTCTTCATCCTGGTCTGAAAACCTGATAGTGAAGATAATAGACAAATATTATATTTCTACCAGACAATAATAGGTTAGAATAGGGCAGAATTCAGATCTGTGGTCACTATGAATCCTATTCAACTCAATGGCACCTAAAAGGAACAACACAAGCAACTTCTGTAGCCTGAAATTGACCAAACGTACAGTCAAGAGGCATTAAAAATAATCCAGGCAATGGATTGATCGAGACCAATGTTACTATCCAAGTAAAAGTAAATCATTAAAGCTAGGATACTAAATACAACCAAACATTCCATGCAGGAATTAACCAATACCCAAATAAAACTCAAAAGAGATTACTACTCAACTCACCACCTTTCCTTATCAACATTGTCATCCTAGTCTCCCTGTGGCTCATCCATTCACGTGTGTTCTCAAGTCACCAGAACTGTCAAAATGACTCTGGCATCCTCTTCTCTCTGCTACCATCATAATCATTCTAACTTAGTTCATTAGCACTTTATTCCTAGCTTATTGACAGTAACTTCCTACATAGTCAAATTTACTTCCTACTTTTCTTTACTGACCATCTTTTCAGTTTGGCTTTACCAAAAATTTCCAGCATGCTATTCCCCTGTTCAAAATATCAGTAATTCTTTTATATCGACAAGGAATGGTCAAGTTCTAGTGCCTTGGCTATTCTGCTCCTTATCTGACCTTATTTCTAAATACCACCTCTACTCTTACCCAGGCATAGTAAAATTCTTTTCTAACTAAACAACTCACTGGCCACTGAATTATTTCATGGGAACTTTGAGTCAAGCCCATAAAAGAAAAATTATCATTGAATGTATAAGGATCACAAAAACTGTGCTTCAATTTCCTCCCCTATAAAACATAGACAATAACAGAGCCCACCTCATGAAGTTGTAAAGTCTAAATTAGACAACATACACAAAAATTTTATAAATAGGTCCTGGCATTTAGAAAGTGTCCAATGAAATTTATTGGTCACCCATATAATCATTGGACAAGTGATCAAAGGAGTTCTGGGAATGGTCATTTTTAATTCATAGAAGTGTGAAATCTCTGTAGTTTTCCTGTGTCCTCTAAATACACAGCTGGCTTTAGCTGCCTTATCAGTTACATTTGTTCCCTGTCTTAAATGCTATGATACTCTTCTTACCTGTTATTCATAGAGCCACCACAGAGTTGTGGTGGACATGAAGAAACCTAACAACAACAATAACAACTTCTTACCTGGACTTCTCTTATGTCTCCTCTTCCCTTGTGCTCTTGCTGCTCCTACATTGGGAACCCCAACCTTCCACCTTACTCCATATCTTCTGTATATCTTCATTCTACCTACTTTTCAAGGCCTTATTTAAAATCTCTCCAAGTTATTACTCCTTAGAAACTCAACAGGCATTAATATTTGTAAGTATTAAGTTTAAAAGTAAAATTCCTAAGGCTATTTCCTCCTAGGGATATGGCTACAATTTAAGATGTTGTTAGTTTTAGGTGCCTTTGAGTACAACCCAACGCTGTCCCATTTTTGTGCCATCTTCACACTTCCTGACCCGCTAGAGTCCACTGCTGCAGTCACTAAGCACAGTCTATTTTATTATTGACTAGTTCTAAGCTTTTTATGCAATATTAAAAATAATAAAACGCAAATGTCTCCATGTCAAACCCACTAGGTATAAGTAACAAATCAAAGCATTTTAAGTTAGAGAATTTAGGTCCCTTACCAAGTCTTTCTCTTTTTCTAAATTGTCAGTCAATTAACTCACTTTAGAATCACAGTGGGGAGTTTTTCTAAAATATTGATGCCATTCTAGCATCAAAGATCTAATTGTATAACCTAAAATTATAAAATTTTCAGACGACAGCATAGAGGTAATACTTTAGGACCTAGCCTTCAACAATTGATTCTTAGATGTGGCATCAAAATCCCAAGTGACAAAAGACAACATGGATAAATGAGATAACATCAAAATTTAAAACCAACATACATCAAAGAATTTTATCCATAAAACAAAAAGACAGCTTACAAAATAGAAGAAAATTTAGGGTAATAATATATTAGATAAGGCTTTAGTATCCAGAATATATCAAGAACTCCTATAAGTTAACAAGGAAAAAAGATAAACAATCCAATTGAAAATGGACAAAATGGACATTTCATCAAAGATGATATTCAAATGGTCAAAAAGCATATGAAAAGATGTTCAGCATCATTAACCATTAATTAAGTTGCTATCAAGTTAGTTCTGATAAATAGTGACCCAGTATGATAGAGTAGAACTATTCCATAGGGTTTCCAAGGATGCAATCTTTAGGGGAAAAGATACTGCCATATCTTTCTTCTTTGATGCTGCCAGTAGTAGTCCCAAACCTAACCATCACACCACCAAGTTGACTGATCATTAGATATTAAAGAGATGCAAATTAAAACCACAATCAGATGCCACTTCATTATCTTTAGAATTGCTAAGATTTTTTTAAATAAACAAAAAATGAAAGTTAGTATGTTGATAATGGCATTTCCTAAAGAGGAGGAAATGACACATGGGCCACAGAGTCTCTGAAAGGGCCAGAGAGAGTAAGAATAGCAAAGCCTCTCACTGTCCCAGAGTAGAAAGTAGATAAGAGTAGATAAAGAGCCCATAGCTGAGCCACACCAACAGAAAGAGGTTCATTTATTCTTTGCTGCCTCACAGACTTACAGATATGGCACCAGCAATGGGGTTTATTAGGGAAGGAAGTTGGAGAGTGGGGGAGGCAAAGAATATGTCACAATACAAGTGCAGGTTTTAGACAAAGTTTCAAGGCAAACTTCTTCAATTAATCCAGGCTCTGGTTTCAGTTCAGCAGTCAAATTCAAATCATCCAGCAAGGTTTCTATCAGAACAGTTATAAGTCAGTTTTTCCTTTAAGCATCTGGCCAGAAGAGCAAACACTTTCAGCTGTGACCTTTATCTCAGGGCTCCCTGCTTACACCTTGCCGTGGTTTCTCCACAGCAATGTCATTGTCTCTCCAACACCATCACCAGGGTCTCACCAACAGGGTCTGCTCCAATCGCCCTCAAGTCTTGCTGTCACATGTCTTGCCAGCCTCAAGTTTTGCCTCCCTATGTGGGAAGTACTCTTTCTCTCATCCTAGCCCCACAGATGTTGGTGATTTGCAAGACCATGCTGATTTTCAAGACCATGTTTCTACCGTTAAGGTAGTTGGAGACCAGAGGGCACTAACCATAATGGTTAAAAAAGGCCAACTTTTAGGCTAACACTACAGATATGGAGAAAGCAGAGCTTTGATTCCATTGGTGGTGGAAATAAAATATGGTACATTTTTAATTGGGTGGCCTCCTCACTCACACAGTGTGGGGAACCCACGGAGTCACACAAGACACGATCTGAGAGCTATCTCTAATCTCCTTGATCAGGTAACACCTTTTTCCTACAAGGGTGTTGTTGTTGTTGTTGTTGTTGTTATGTGCTGTCGAGTTGCTTGTGACTCGTAGCGGCCCTATGTACAACAGCCCTAAACTCTGCTCTGTCTTGTGCCAATCACACTGTCTCTGACACTCCCATCCCGATTACCCCAGTCACTGAATCAATCCACCTCATAGAGGGCCTTCCCGTCCTGCGCTGTCCCTCCACCCTACCAAGCATGATGTTCTTCTCCAAGGACCAGTCTCTCCTCACAACATTGTATGTTAGGCTAAGCCTCAGAATCCTTGCCTCCAAGGAGCCACCCGGTTTAACCCTTTCCAGGATGAATCTGTTTGTTTTCTTAGCAGTCCATGGTATTCTCAATACTCTTCTCCAGCACCACAGCTCAAAGGCATCAATTCTCTTTCTATCCTCCTTGGTCATTGTCCAACTCTCTGATGCATAACAAGTGATTGCAAAGACCATGGTCTGTATCAGATGCATCTTAGTCTCCAGAGAGACACTATTGCTCTTCAGTACTTCGGAGAGGTCCCTAATAACAGACTTTCCCATGGCTATGCACCTTTTACTTTCCTGGCTGCTGGTGCCAAGAGTGTTGACTGTGGAGCCAAGCAAACTAAAGCTGTGAACAATCTCAATCTCTTGGCCATCCATCCTGATGCTACCAATTGGTCCAGTGGTGAGAATCTTTGTCTTCTTGACATTAAGCCTCAATCCATATTGGAAGCTACAGTCCTTGACCCTCTGCAGCAGGTGCTTCAGGTCCTCCTCGGTTTTAGCAAGCAGGGTGGTGTCATCTGCATAACACAGATTGTTGATAAATTGTCCACTAATCTTGACGCCACACTTCTCATAGAGCCCAGCCTCCCGGATAATCTGTTCTGCATGCAGGTTGAAAAGGTATGGAGATAGGATGCATCCCTGGAGTACACCCTTCCCAATTTTGAACCATGCAGTGTTCCCTTGCCCTGTTCTGACGACTGCCTCCTGGTCCAAGTATAGGTTTCACATTAGAAAGTGTTCTGGGATTCCCATTCTTCTCAGAGTCAGCCACAGTTTGTTATGATCCACACAGTCAAACGCCTTTGCATAGTCAATGAAACACAGATAGACATTCCTCTGGTATTCTCTGCTTTCAGCTAAGATCCATCTAACATCAGCTACAATAACCCTAGTACCATGACTCCTTCTAAACCCAGCCTGGACTTCTGGCAAGGTGTTAGCTACCTTAATTTCATCTTTCACCAAAGGATATCTTCAGTCTCAAATCTCCTTCAAGGTCTAGGTTTTGAAGAGGAAGACCCAGGATGAGATGGATTGGTACAGTAACTGGGGCAATGGGAGTTGGTTTGTCAGCATTAGTGAGACTGACTTAGGACAAGGAAGGGTTCAGAGCTGCTGTAAATAGATAGGGTCGCTATACATCACAGGTTACTCAATGGCACATAACAATAACATGCTATGACAGGTTTGGAAGCAGTAGTAGCATCCACTTCCTAAACAACATGCCTCCAGAAACTCTATGAACTTTGATAAATATTGATAGTTGTAGAGGTGCTTCAGGCCTTTTGTTCTTAGAGT